GCTAGTCGACCGTCCGTGAATGTTTGTGAGAGAAATATTTGTCTTAGTGAGGTATGATTCATGATCTAATCTGTTGAGTTCTATAAATGTGTCACTGTCGGTGACTCACGACACTTGTCACTTACTCAGTTACTGACTTAGTCACAGTCATCACAGTGACAGTCAGTGTAGTGAATGTGCGTAGCACCTAAACTTTAGGGCAACACAGGTAGATATGTTGGTTCTCGTGTAGGAAATGTTGTAATGGGGTTGTTTTGGCTCAACATAATTGGCCTGTGAACCACCAGATAAGAATTGAGACGCGAAAAGTGTTTCTGTTGTAGTACGTAGAAGTGAATCTACTGAGTCTGATGGCATTTTGAAGGCTATTATGACAGCTACAGTGTCGCGAATACTATGCTGCCACTGTGTTGCATCTTACGCGCAACATATTGTCCTTCGTAAGAAACTACAGTTCTTGTCCCAAGAATGGCCTGAATTGTCGCCTGGAATGCTGTTCGCTTATGCAACATTCCACAGCTAAATTAGTACATGGTTGTGTTTTGATTTTGTAGCAACAAGATGGAGAAAATAGTTTGTGCCAAATACAGATGCTCAGCAAAACAGGTGAGAATTTCGAGTTTGCTTAAGAATTAATTAAAATTGGTTAATACTATACAGGTCTTTTGTTATGAAAAAGGTGGAATAGATTACCCACCCACCTTCTCCTCCCTTGAAATCTTATTCACTCGCGATCTCTTTTACATTAGAATTTAATTCAGAAATGTCCATCATTTTTAGCAAGTTCTTGTTGTTATTCTTTCCCAAATGCAAGATAAAAACCTTTAACTCCTTCCCAACTCTATAAGGTACTGTGTTAATTGATACTCCGATCACGGGATCACATACAGTATCTGAAGCCTTCTGTAATGCTCCAGCATCAACTCGTATGTAACCATCGATCTTCTCACAACAGAGTGTGATAGCTGGGAACAGAACTCGACGGAACTGGACCAATACGATCTAAAGTTTGTCATCTTGTCGATTAGTGCATACTGCCACACGAACGAGAACTTCACTAATGAAGACTGCCAAGGAAACCATTCCGCGACGGATATGGTCGGACTCAACATATCATGGTCCATGTTAAATGAAAGTGCGTATCTTGTAAATAAGATTTGCCTCGAAGGAGAGAAACCTTTTCGTTCGTGCTCGTGGCTTATAATTGTACAGTTGGTTCAAAATTACATTATACATACATGTCACAAATTAGATATGCTTTGTAGCATAAGACAATTATTATCTTGTTACTGTTAGGTAGATATGTAGACTGGCATGCAACAAATCAATCGATCAATAAATAAATAAATAAATATAATTATATAATAGATAGCTATAAGTTATACTCATATATATTATATACTATACATAATTATATATCATATATATATATATATATATATATATATATACTAATATATATATATATATAGTGTATTGTTGTGATGTAGGTAGTGCTGAGTTGTGTGTGTTTGCAGATAGCGATGCGGTCTTGCTGCATCTGTGGAATGCAGGAAATGACACGAGGTATCAGGATGAGGGAGAGGTGTGTGTCCTCTTCGACTTCAGCAACAGCACCAGTCTACTGCACATGCCCGTGAGTTTATTATCGCGATTGCGTGCACCTTGGAGATGCTTGCAAGAAATTATCTCAACATAAAATGCATTGTGTCAGTGTACTCTCTTAGGGTGTAACACTTTTGCACACTGTGTTGGAATGATGCAATCTAAATTGCAACCCATCTGGCTGGAATGTGTTGCTGTGCTGTTTGTAGTCCTCTTGCAATTGTCTCAACCTAAAATGCATTGTGTTGATGTATTTTCTCTAATTGCAACACGTTCGCGAAATTCTTTTACAATATTTCACGCTAAATTACATCCTATCTGACTGGGATCTATTTTTATCTGGAATTTATATATATACTATTTATATATATACTGGAATGTATCGCTGCGCTGTTTACGGTCCTCTTGCAATCGACTGATGCTCGTTTGTTTTTGCGCGCAGTTGGAGTTTGCGTACGACTGTCTGACGAGTCTCGTGTCCTTGGAGACGTACGTAGTGCGCTTGACGACGGCGTTGCCGGAACGACAGCACGTGACGTTCTATGTCACTCCCCCGCAAGCTGCCAACATGTGTAACTAACTACTAGTGCAATGCTGCTTTCTATCTCTCTCTCACCCTCTTTCCCTTTTATCGCTCCAACCCTTTCTGTTCTGGTCCTTTTTTCATCCCTCCCTTTATCTCTCTCACCCTCCCTCCTTCCCTTTCTGTCCTGTTCCTTATTTCGTCCCTCCCTTTATCTCTCCCACCTTCCCTCCCTCCCTTTCTGTCCTGGTCCTTCTTTCCCTTCTTCCTTCTTTTGTCCCTCCCTTTATCTCTCCCACCCTCCCTCCCTCCCATTCTGTCCTGGTCCTTCTTTCCCTTCTTCCTTCTTCGTCCTCCTTACTCTCTCCTACCTCCTCCTCCTTCTTGTCCTGTCCTCTTCCTCTTCTCTTGTTCCTCTCTTCTCTCTCCTCCTCCTCCTTCTCTCCTACCCTCTTCCTCTT